AACACATCTGTCTTGAATAAGTCATATTACATCTGCTGTTTTCAAAACATGCATCTCTAGTTAGCAGAAAGAACAAACATTCACAATCAGCCTATTAACACAAGTTCTTATCCTCTGTGAGCCTCGGTTCCACATTTGTATAATAGAAATAACATCCTCTTTCTACTTCACACAGTGTTACAAATACAGTTTACTGGCAATGCACTGCACCTAACACACTGAAAAAGTACTCAGTATACTACTCCATTCTTTCAATTTATGTTTGGTGAGCGCCAATGTCAGGCATTGTTATAAATAGCAGGTAAACCAGAGTACAAGGCAGATAAAAACCTTTGCCTCAGGAGTTTACCTTCTCACGTTTTTTATTTTATCTTACCCATGCATATTACACACTTATCGATATATACTATTTTTCTTCTCCACACATTCCTGGCCTGGGTCCACTCTGGTCCTCCACCTTTGACCATTTTCCCACTTTTTAAAAAAAGATTTATTTATTTATGCATACAGAACTGGGGTGCCGGCCAGAGGTGCAGAGGCAGTGAGATAATTCACCAAAGACAGAGTGGGGAGCAGAACAGGCAGGTCCACTGAAATACACTGGTTGAGGGATGCAGTGGGCAAGACAGGAGAAGTTTGCTGCACCATGTGGATCACCTCCCTGGCAGGGGATGGAACTTGTGTTGAAGCAGCTATGGCTAGCTTCATAGAGCTGCGCTTTAACCTGTTGTGCCACCAGAGAGTACCCAATATTCCATTCTTAATACATGCCACATAACTTATCTACACTTATGGTTATCTACCATGAATCCATTTTACAATTGCAGTGAACATCACCAACTTTTTAATGCCATTTGCAGCTTTCATTTGTCCCTTGATGGTGTTTGTATACTATATATACTTAGTACACAGAATACTGACTACAACCCAATCAAGCAATGGGAAAAATATGACAAATTGGGAACTAGATACCCCCATATCCCTTCATTAACACACATCTGACCCAAATGAAATGTGAGAATTCAGGAAATGTCATTTTGAAACTAAATAATTCCCTTTTCTCTCAGTCCTTGGTTTGGGAATCTTAAGAAGAAGAAGAATGCTTCGGATTCAGGTATTTTTCTAACAGTTAGAAATTCTGATTTATTTGTTAAAGGATATATAAGTTAAATAGAGAGAATCCTTGTGATGAAAACATCTGAGAATACCTCTCTAGTTGATGAGACTATCTTACTTTGTTAAGATGAACATTATTATTAAGATTTCTAATAAAATCTGCAATATCTTATTAAAATTTATATAGTGAAAAGGACGTTGAAAAATAGTGCTAAGTAATTTTTAGCACTATTGATTAAAGAACAAGACTTTATAAACATCCAGGATGATTCAAAACTGGTTCTCAACATTTCTCATAATCAAGATACAGTTTTCATTACCTATCCTACATAAAAGGTTGAAATTTTATAGGCTTTTTTCCTAACAAAAATGTAGATGTATTCATGTTCTGTATTCACAAAGTCTTTCAATGAAATAAGTGGAGCTCAGAAAAATAAATTAAGGATTAGCTAATTAAGGCCTATTATCACGAGACCCCAGCAAATGTTATCAACAGGAAATAAAATCAAGTAAGGCTCAAATCAGTCTAACCCTGAATGTTTCAGAAAACAGCTGGTGGCAGAACAGTGAATATGATTAGAATAAGCTTTATTTGTGACGACCTGCTTATAATCCAAATGTTTTCACCAGCAAATACAATTCAGAAACACTGACACTACAATTAGGAGACCACGAGGCATCGTGAAAGCTGGAAAGATGACATCCTTTATGTGCTCTTCAATCTCGTATAAATTGTTTTTCTAGGATATGACTTTTTCCTACTAATTAAAATATACTCATGTAGAAACTATAGATTAATGCCATTTAAAAATAAATCTTCTATAATCCCACCACCCAAAAGTAAGTACTATTAGTACTCTACTTATTTTTCACCAATAGTTTCTGATCATGTTAGATTTTTTCAAGATACCATTTTATAACTTACCTTTTTTCATCCTTCATATCGTGAATACTTTCTCACATCATTGAATAATCTTCCCTAGAAACCTCATATACTTGATTTACTTTCCATGTTTGTTAACGTGATGTATGAAAATATGGTAACTTATCCCCATGCTAAGTATTTTTTCCATTATTGAGAGATTAATATCCCTTTCCTCCACCTTATACAAGTAGCCTTTTTTTCCTTTGTGAGTTGCTATTTACATCTATTTTTCACTGGGGATCATTTTTGTCAGGATGTTCATCTACCTCTCACTACTCTTTATAATATATTTTGAATAGGGCATTCTGGTATATAAAATATAACTAAGCGTTTGTGTTCTAGTTTTTCTTATGTGATTGTTTTACAATATTTTTCAAATTTGTATTTGTGGTTATAAAAATAATAGTTGGTAGAGAGGATTTGGGAGTATGAGAAAAAAAATAGGAAAATATATAGCTATATCTCTACCACCTAACTTTTTTTGTGTGTTTATAATTGGATAGAGGCATTGATAAAAACAGGGACAGGAAGTGCAGTTTTATTTAATGTTAGCCAGTTTATGTTGTTTTAGAATAATGCCTGATACATGAATTAAGTCCTTAACAAATGTTTAAGTAATGATATTTGATATATATTTATTTCAAAATTACATTTTGCATATTCAAAATAATACAGTAGTAAGTGCTTTTTTCACTCCATACATCATAAGCATCTTTCTAAGTCATTAAATTCCTTCAAAATATTTTGCAAATTGTATTTTATCACTATAGATATATAGTCCATTAATTTATTTAAATATATTGCTATTGGGGGTTTTATTTTCTATTTTTCTTTTCAGCATACAGGTAACACTATCATGAACATACTTAAAAAGTTTCAAATGAAAGTCAGGTAGTTTCCACAGGAAGTTATTTCTAGAGCCAGGATTGAGTCCAAGACCATAAAAACTTACAGCTGTGTTTTCATAAATATTCCCAAGTTACTACCACAAAGATATCTTTCCTTGAGTATCATAAAAAGATTCCAGTAAGGCCACAACAGTTATGAAACTAATATCACAATTAGTTCTTACTCTAACAGTGATAGTACTTCTGTGAAAAACATTATTGCTATGGCGAAGTTGATTTCTGAAATGACTAAAGTCCACTTAAGAAAGAGTAATGTTTTTGAGACAACGCAATCACAACAAAACTCTTCTAAGGAGCAAGGAAAGTTGCTCAGTTACTAATGACTATTGACAGAAATAGTAAAGCATCCTTGTCTTGATAAATAGATTCTCCTTTTTAAAATCATTGACAAGCTATTACAATTATCCATACTAACACACTGGTTTTGAGATTCTACAAGTGATCTTGTTCGTAGTATTGTTTTTTACTTGCTCTTATTAAGACAACTTTCAACTAAATCAGAAAATAAGACAGGCAATGAAGCCTTGGCTATGTTGGTATTTTTTACATTTTTATTTTTGAAATAGATTTTTAAGGCTTTAAAAATGTGTTATTTCTATTGCAAGTTAAAACTCTGAGCATTTTCGTTCATTTTTTGACATCAGAATAAATCCTAACCCATTTAATTTCTATTTAATCACCACATAATTATATCAAATTAGTATTTGGTTCTTTCCATGCAAAGGTGCAGCAACACTGACGTTCTTTTTAGGCATTTAATTTCTCCATCTTTTCCATATAACTGAATGAATGCTAAATTAGCAGTTTAAAATGTTGTTTTTAAACTCCCTAAGGCTTTTCCAATGTTTCTAATTATTTTTCCACATGTATAGCATGATCTCATATTGACATAAGCAAACTACCTCAATGTAAGTATGTAATATGTTGTAATATGTATTTGTAATGAGGAAAGAGTCCAGAAAGAGCAGATACCATCTTGTAGAGCAGATTGGAGTGTGTGTGGGGTGGAGGGGGGGTAGAGTGGGGCACTGAATAAGTTTATTATAATAATTATCTGTTATCTGTCCTTAACAAGTCAAAAAAGTTTAGGTTTAATTTTTAAGATGATACTCTCATAGAAATGTGCCCAAGCCCAATTTAAAAATAATTCTCTTCTCTGGAGTTACTTTCTGTTACAGTAATACTGGAGGATAAGAAGTTCCCTAACTTTCTTGATCTATCTTTCAAGGTAGGTAGATGGAGTCAGAGACTTGCTTTTAGACTATGGAATTGCTTTTCTCCTTGCAAAGACTAGGATGACAAAGGACAAGAAGAACTTTTGGTCTTCTTAGAGCACATTCTAAATACCCGAATTAAATACCTTATTGATTCAGAGTAGTTTAAATGTATGCTTTCTAAAGGTTTGGGAGCTCCTAAGTCACCAATAAAATCCTTCAAGCTGGAGGGTTTCACTGACTAACCAAACTTCTCTGCTGTTCCTGGTACAGGAGAATTACACTGTTTGTAAGGTGTAAGTTAGTGTTAGCGTGGGAGAACACAAACTTTTTTTTTAGTACTCCTCTAAACTATTTCCGAGTAAGCGCCAATACAAACACCTTCCTTAGCGAACAACTCTTGGTTTATTTACTGCGTTACAATTTCAATACACATCCTCTTCCTCATCTTCCAGAGACAGAGAGCCAAATAGCTTTCAATTCCATTTCACATTTCGAAAGCAAAGATAAGAATTTTTATGGATGGATGTGTGTGCGCACGCACTTATTTTCACTTTTTAACAAAGCCCATTTAGAATAGGTAAAAATAATTCCTCCTCTGAAATAAGTGACTGAGAAATTGTGTAACTGCTTCACATTCTCTTTCTTTGTGTAAGTTCAATAATAGCCTAAACTCAAGTGTTGAGGCACTTCATCAAACCTGAACCCAAACCCTGGAGGAAGGAGACAGGAAGGGGGTGAGCGAGACAGAAAGATGAAAAAGAAAGTGGAAAAGAGGATGGGCAGTGAAAGAGAAGGCAGAGGAAAGACCAGAGAGGATTCGCTCGTGACCCTTACCAATTTCTCCCTGGGCACACATCACAGCATGTTCAGGTCACGAGTCGCAAAGTCCAAGAGAAGAATCTAGCCCAAATCCCGGAGGCGGGGAAGGTTACGCTTCTTCGCCAGCCATCGGCCTTAGGAAAAAGGGAATCTCTTCCCAGACAGCTTCCAAGCTCAACAGCCCAAACCGGAGCCCTAGCCCGGCCAGCGCCGGGGGCCTCCTCGCTGGGGTCCTCCGGCCGCCGGCTCAATCCCAGATTCTGCGGGCAGCCAATCACATGTGGCCCCGCCTCCCTGGACGTCGAGGAGGCGGGGCCAAAGTGCCAGCCTCCAGCTCCAGCTGTGCTGCTGCGCCAGTCGCGCAGACGCTGTCTGGTCCCATCTCTGACTTTCTCCTTACTGTACAGATCGCCTGCGGTTGAAGGTTTGCTCATTATTCTTTTGCTGAAATTTTGTTTAACGGTTCACCCACGTAACTAGACTTGAAACGCTTGACAATTACTTTTGGAGTGTAAAGTGTCAGATCTAAACATTTGTGATTGCATAAGTAGGAAAAAAAAAAAACTTGGAAAGAAACCACAGTTTTAATTTGGTGTTTTTTCTCACTCCCTGGCCTTCAAATCCCTCACTCCCTCAGTATAATGTGGTTTTATCTATATGCTTGACAGATACAGTTCAAATTCTATTTATTTTTTTAAATTCCTACTTCTCAGTCAAATCCAATAACCTGTTGGCTCTCACAGAACTGCTGATCAACTAATTTTTTTAAGCAAAGGTCAACGGTAATAATAATTCAACCCAAAACCTCGTCATCACTGGTTGCCAATATTTTCATTCCACTAAAACAAAAATAAAAGGAAGGAGACGCAAAACCCTCCACAACTACCCTCTTTTGTGCCTTTGTCTTCCGTTTTCTCAAAAGTATTGCCAGAATGAAGAAAGTGGTCACATCAATGTTTTCCTTTCAGGGAAGAGGTCCCCAGTCAGACACATGGAATTGCTTGGGGAATCTGAAAACTCTCAGGTGGAACTGGGAAGGCCGAACAAGTTCCTGCACCCACTGAGAAGGTGCCTCTCCCAGATCGGGAGAAACAAGTTCTGGGTGTGGTTTCCTGCGATGCCAGATTTGGAAACCTTCTCCTACAGGTATGGGCAAATCTCTAGAGTTGAGACAACTCTGGGAATAAACTCAGCCAGTCTAGTTGCAGACTGCTTAGCAGCACACTGTTCTTGGCTCTCCTGGCTTTTTTACATCCCTGTGATTGTCCCCAACTTGATTTGAGATGAAATAAGTTTCCTATCTTCTGTCCAGCCAAGCTGGTCTCCCTGGTTTCCCCAAATCGGTACTGCAGCAGTCGCTAACAGAGAGGACTTTTGTGAGATGTATTCTGAACAATTCAGGCAGAGGTCTGGTATTTGCTACCACTTTGGTTGGTTAAATAGGTGATTTTCACTAGCTGCACTACAGAGTAAACTGGGGAACTTGATGCTAAAGCCCCACCCAGTCCAATTAAACTGGAATCTCTGGGGGCAGGGCTCTGGCAATTTTTCTTTCTTTCTTTTTTTTCTTCTTTAAACTCCCCAAGAGATTCCAATCTGCAGCATGAGTTAAGAACCACTAGTTAAGATTTCAAATATTGCTCTAAAGGAAAATCTATATTTAAGTTTAAAAATGCAGTAGCTGAATAATGTGAAACATTTTATAAGTTAATTCGGCTTCATATATTCTTTAAGTATTGAAATATAAATGTAGAAAATATGTGGCAAGATACACATCAAAATTACTTATTCAGTAGGGAAGGATTGAAGAATAGGAGGAATTTACTAATTTACTAATTCTTCCTATTTGTATCTATATCATTTGACCACAAAAAGAACATATTTATCATTTATGAATCAAAGGTGTCTAATAAAATATTTTAAATCAATACTTGTGAATATCATTACAAATAACCACTATTAAAACTGACTTTAGCTTATTTGTTTTGCAAATTTACCTCTGATATTCAACTTTTCTTCTAAGCGTTATTTCCATTTTGTTAAAAAATGTACATTAGCTACCAAATATAATACAATCATTGCTAAACTGAAAATATATTTTCTTTCTTATAATTCATAAATATATTCATTTGTATATACCTACCTATTCATGAAGGTTTAAAAAAATCTAATATTTAAAGTGATGTAGGGTCTCCCTGTTGAAGCAGGCATTGAAGTCTCAGCAATATCAAGTTATCATGGGTCACTGCATCATGATTTCCTTCCCCCTTTTGCCCCCTTAGGGAGCTGACCCACATGGAGATGCAGACCTCTCCTATGTCACCTGCTGCTCCCCTCAGCAGGTATTTCAATATTTCTCCTGTTCTGCCTCAACTCTGTATCTGGTGAATCCTCTCATGCCCTGCACTTCTGGCCTACACCCCAACTCTTATGTGTATAAATAATTCTTTAAGTGAATAAACAAAGTGATGTAGATATGAGGAAATTTATTTGTTGTTAGTATCACAATTAATTGCCAGTAAGAAACATATGGCATAGGTGGCAAATGCCTACGTTTGACCTGGCTTTAGGCTCAGTCTGCAAATTTTTAGGCTAAGGTCTTAGATAACATTTCTAAGCCAGATAGGAAAAATGAATCCAGTAATATCTACCTCAGTGTTTTTAAGAGTATGTCAAGCCATGTAGCTGACATGCTTTGTTTTTGTGGCAAACAATAAGGGCAGTTATCAATTCACTGATTTCCAATTTTCCCTCTTTTTTAAAAAATACACTTAAGGATTAGCACGATTATGGCAGAATAAGAATTTATCAGAAAACACTTTTACAAACAGTAACCTTGACTCTTATGTGACCATATTTCTTTTCTGATGTGTGAAAAAGAATTATACTTATTCTCTAGGTCCTCTGTTTTAACATGTTACAGATGAAACAATGTTTTCTTTGTTTGCTCAAAATATTTGACAAATGTTTCCTACAGTGGCATAAGCTGATTTGTCATGATTCTTGATCAATCATTTCTTCTACTCTCTGCTTATCTTATTAACAAGCTGTGGCTCAAGCACAGGGCAGATTCCCCAGCATCAGCTTTCTTATTAACTTTTGAATGAAACAGAAAGGCCACTGGCTCAAACAGTTACACTTATTCCTTTGTAGCTGCACCTTGGTTTTAGTAGCATCATCACCAGACTTTTTTTTTTTTATTTCTTGTTCCTTATTTATTAGCACTTAAACTTTTCTTTTTTAAAATTTTCTTACATTGGTCATTTTTGTATATTTGATTTCTCCCCTCAGGTGTAAGTCCCCATAAATCTACTGTCACCACACTACCGATGAACTGTCACCATAGTCCCTTAGCATTTGTAATTTTCTATCTCACGCTCTCCTTATTCATCAGCATTTGTCAAACATGTCTGTATTAGGCACTGTACTAGGTAGTTTACATCTGTTTCTTTAATTCATCCTCTTGTCAGTCCATTGAGGTGGTTTCTCACTTGTAGATGATAAATCTGAGGCACAAAGAGATGGAGCAACTTATCCAAGATAGCACAGCTAAGAGGTAAGGAGAACCTACATTCTCCTGTGGACTATTCTGCATAGGTTTCAATGAATTAGGATGATGCATGTTAAATGATTTTCGTTGGAAAGTATAAAATCATGCCATTGTTAAAATGGTAAATTTAGGATAGAAATGCTGTATTTTTTAGAAACACTTATACAATCATTTCCACTAAGCACTAGTTGTTTCATTTAGGCCTTAATTCATGCATATGCATGTCTTTAAAAAAAGGAATTCTGTGTGACTTACAAGAGAGCTGAAAAACTGAAGGATAATTCCAGGGTTTTGTCTTAACCAACTGGAAGACTAAAGCTGTGTAACTATTGTGGCTGCTGTCTAGCTCCAGAATGATTCGCTGTCACCATTACCTGGATCTAACCCCAGTAGAAAGGGGAGTAATATATGTTGGATGGCAAAGTTTTCATGTGTGCCTCAGTTCCTGGTAATTGACTACTTGGAATCAACAGTTAAGAAATATGATATGCCGTTAAACAGAAACCTGCTGGGATTCTGTCAATCTCTTACTGTTTTGCTGGTAATCTACTCTATAAACTCAGTAACTGTGTTTCAAGAAAATTTTCACTTTTTGACTGAGCATATTTACTAATTCTTACAAAAAAATTGAAAATAGAAATAATGAATTCAAAGTTCCAGGTGATATTCACAGAACTACCTGTCTTTACTATGTTGTTTCCAGCATCATGAAATTGGAGGTGAAAGGACCCAAGTTTTGCCACTCTAAAAGCCACTACCTCTAACACAGTCTTAGCCTATGAGTGTTCTCTCTCTCACTTACTTTTTGAAAGATAGTATTTGCCTCTCAGCCTGGATACTCTAGTCAGGCAGTTCAGTCATACAAGCAAAGCACATATAGTGTGAGCAAAAGATGTTGTGGATTTCTGACATCTTGAGACACATTTTTCTTCCTTTAGATGCAACAGAGAACCACACAGACTGACATATGCTTACATACTTCAATATTAGCAAAAATCAAAAGGAAATGAGGTATGGCAAAGTAATGTTACTTTTAACAGCAGAGAAAAATAACCAAATTCAGCCATGCCCTTTGTTTTCTTGACAAGATGAAATCTTGGTGAAATTAACAGGAATTTCCTGTTCTTCAAACTCAAGTTTTAACCATGAGGGAAAGTGTCACCTTGAAAATGGAAAAATGGACCTCAGTTCTGTCTTAGAGAAGATCTTTAATGATTCCAGGGACTAATCAAAATACAGGAGGGGGTCTAAATCTCAAAATTCTTGTTGAATTATCTCTAGTTTAGAACATTTTCCTCTCTTGGAACCAAATACATTCAAACAACTAGCATTATTCTTTCTCAGCTAGTGAAAAGTATATAGGGTCTTCATGTGTTCATTAATCAATTACTTATTGGTGGTTTATTGTGTTCATTGATCAATTACTTATTGGTGGTTTATTGTGTGACTAGTAAGATGCCAGGAATCCAATGCTGAACAAATTCTTTCACTTCATGGCCTTTTAGCCTAGTCTGGGAGAAGAATAATAATCAGACAATTGTAATATATTATAAAAACTGCTACAATAGGCAAAATTCAAGAACCATGAGAGCAGACAAAAAGTATGGGATCAAGTGACATTTAAACTGAAATCTGAAAGATGAAGAGACC